TGCCCGGGGATGGCCTCCATCCCTCCCGTGCTGCCAGCGAGCACGACTGCGTGGTGGTCATCACACGGGAGGTGCCGAGCCAGACCACAGCAGACTTTGTGAGGGACTCGGTGGTGTTGCACCAAGCCAAGCCTGAGCTGTACGAACGTCGCGTTTGCTTCTTGCTCCTCCAGCTCTGCAATGGCCTGGAGCATCTCAAAGAGCATGGCATCATCCATCGTGACCTGTGCCTGGAGAACCTCCTGCTTGTCCCCTGCAAGCCCCCCATGAGCTGTGTGAAAGCCAAAGATGACAAACACTTACCCCGCCTCATCATCAGCAATTTTTTGAAAGCCAAACAGAAGCCAGGAACTGGAGACTCCAAGCTGAAGAAAAGTCAGGCCCGGCTGGCTCCGGAGATCGTGTCGGCTTCTCAGTACAAGAAGTTTGATGAGTTTCAGACTGGTATTCTCATCTACGAGCTGCTGCACCAGCCCAACCCCTTCGAGGAGAAGGTGCACCTCAAGGAGCAGGAGTACAGCCCTGAGGACCTCCCTGCTCTGCCCAGCCTGTCTATCTACTCCCGGGGGCTTCAGCAGCTGGCCCACCTGCTACTGGAAGCAGATCCCATCAAGCGCGTGCGGATCACTGAGGCCAAGCGGATGCTGCAGTGCTTGCTTTGGGGGCCCCGAAAAGACCTCACGGAGCAGCCCCTCAGCCACGAGGAAGCCCTCCGCCGGGTGCTTCAGAACTGGGTGGACATGAAGCGTGCCCTGCTCATGATGAAGTTTGCAGAGAGGGCTGTGGACACGGAGCGGAGCATTGAACTGGAGGACTGGCTGTGCTGCCAGTACTTAGCTTCTGCTGAGCCGGCCTCCCTCTCACACACGTTAAAACTGCTGCAGTTGCTCTGACCGTGGATGTGTCTCGGAGGCAGCTGAGGGCTCCCAGTTGCCTCGTGGCTAAAGGTACACGGCCCCCTCTACATGCAAGAAGCTTGAATCTCAGCTGTGACTGCACGTTCAGCTCCTGCCCCGCACTCCAGTCAGAGTGCACAAAACACGTTTAGTACCCTCAGCACTGTTCATCTGTGAGCAGGCAAAACTGGGAACCCACCCCTGTCTTGGGGATATTTTTGTTATTATTAATTTTTTTTTGGTATGTTAAGTCTGGGGACTAATAAACTGCCTGCCTGCGTGTGTGCATGTTTCTAATGAACTCAATGCGCTTGAGTTAATTTTTGCGCCTGTGGGACAGTCCTTTGATCCCCAACCCCCTCTAAAGCTTCAGAGCCTTTTTTGCCCGGTAACACCGCCGCTCTCCTGAGCAAACGCCAAGGGTGAACGGTTGGCTGCTTTGCAAGGGAGAACCAGGAGGGACTTTTACATTCCCATCTCTCATGGGTTTTGACATCCATTTCGCTTCTTGCTTTAAGAACAAAAATTACTGCTTTCTGTGTATCAGCTCTATTTTTTCATTCTGAGTGATTCAATATCAGCTGCCTATTACCTTGGTTAGGTATTAATACAGCTTGGCGTTCCTGCCTAGTGGTGCAGCCACACAGGCTGTTGGTTGTGAAAAGGTGTGAGAGAGCCCAGGATGGGTCTGTTCATGAGGATGATGCCGCATCCTGGGAATTACCCCTTGTAAAGTTAATGAAATGGAAAATCCCCAATCCACCTTCAAGGCCTTGAGGGAGGGAAGTCAGGGCCAGGTTGCTTTGCTTTCCCCATCCCTCCAAGCTCCCTCCCTTCACCTGGTAATTCACCTGTCCCTCGTGTTTAGCATTTAATTAACCCCTTTATCAAGAGATGAGCTGGCATGCGAAAGGCCAGGGCCAGTGGTCTGGGAAGGTTTTGTTGCTGCTGATGTTAGAATTAGAAATGCATAGGGCTGGGTGCACTGCAGACATGCTTCCCCAACAGATGCGATGCAAGACCAGCAGCACGATGGAAAAAGGAGAAGCTGGCCTGGGTCCCTTCAGCCCCTTTCCCTCTGTCCTGACATATAGCAGCTATGCAGCTTGGCAGAGAGGTTATGCTGCTACTTAGAAAAACTGATTTTCCAAAAGCTTATGAGCTGCTTTTACTCTTCCACCCCACCATGAGGCAGAGATGAGCTGCCCTGCTTCTGGCAGCCCTTGGAGAGGAAGTAGATCTGGGACACCTGGGGAGAGCCCAGCTCTGCTTAGCTGAGACAAGATGTCACTGGCTGAGCTACACTCCTCCCAGCTCCAAAACAGGGAGAAATTCATGAGTGCTTTCCTCCAGCTTTGATTCATCTTCAGACATAGACTGCTCTGTTGGGGGAATTTTAATTCATTGGGTTTTTTGACACTTCATACACTTTCTGTGAATCTTTTCCAGGCTTCTCACCTGGAATTTTATTTTTATTTTTTTTATCTCTTTGGCTATGGTTGCTGCTGATGGGAGGGGATGGCTCCTTGGCTGGGCACCCATTTGCGATGAATTTCCCCTGATCCCCTTAGGGAGGAGGCCATGCACGTCCCTGCCTGCTGAAAGAATGCGGGATGGCTCCAACTGCGGCCATCGGGGATTCTTTTATATACTAGCTTTCTTGCATCTGACTCTTGGGTCCACTTTCCTCCAACACAGGTGGCAGCAGCCTTCTGGCTTGAGCACCACTGTCCCGTGGACCATCCTGGACACATTGCCCTGGCAAGTCTGGCCCTAGCTTGCTGCATGTGGTCTCACCACAGGCAAGCAGAGTGATGAAACAGCTGGAGAACCTGCCTGAGGGATCCCAGCATGTTTTTCAGAGATAAGATGAAGAGATGACTCAGCTTCTAAGCACGGATATAAGGAATAAGTTGAGGGCAGCTCTGCAGGACAGCACAGGAGACAGGGTCTGGCCATGCCAAATCCAAGCTGTCCTGGCAATGGAGAGATTATATGTAGGGTAAGTGGCTTGCAATGCTTGGGCTGGGTACTCAGCTGGAATCAAGAAGTAGCCAAACATCCAACCAACCCACATAAAACAAGGTTGCATCTGTTTTGCATGCCGAGTTTCAGTTTAGTGACAAACACTGATACACGTACTGGCACAGCACCTGCACGGCGTGGGTTATTAACCTGATCACAATGCTCTCCCTTGAGTTTGGACACCTGAGACTGGTTCTGGTGTTGGTCCTGGTACCCTGCAGCAGCATGCCCAGCAGACCAGAGCATTTTCAGCTTTATTATCATGAGATTTGGTGGGTGGTTTCTGGCTCTCATATAAACAGAAACTCAGCTCTATACTTTCCTGATACCTTCCCCTGTGGTAGCTCATGCTTCTTCTCCAGCCTAAACAGTCCTATATTTTTTGGCCAGAGCATGAACTGGAGCGATATGTTAGGGTTGCTGCTGCATGTCTTTGTGGGAAAAGAGACACATAAGCCTTGGCTGAATGCCACAGCCAAGACTGAGGACTTTGCTGGTTTAGTTCCCCTTGTCTGTGCTGTCCTCAGCACACCATGGCCAGTAGCCCTTCTTTTCCTAGCAGGCATTCTTGCCCACGTGCTCAGGATGCTCTGTAAGAATGGTGCAGGGAATGGATCATCCCTCTTCCCCACGTGGCAGGGAACACAGCTGATCCTGCGCCCTGGAAGCCAAACATGTTGCTCACTTGGTGATGGCTGGGGATGCAGGAGATGTGTAACTGGGAACAATTTGGAGCCCGTGTGCCACAGGGACGGTGCTGAGGAGCAATTGCTGGAGGAGCACCACAGACCCACGTATCTCTGTAGTACTGCGAGGTCGGGAAAGGGGTGTTTCTTGTCTTGTGCTGCCTCCAAACAGACTGTCAGCTCCCTTCCCTGTGCCCAGGCTCCCAGTGGCCCATGTGCACAAGAAACAAAGGTAGTTCTCTGGCATTCCTAGGAGCCAGACACAGTTGCCAACTGGTGCAGTTGTAGCACAGATGAGTTTGGTGAGGGGGTTGTGTGCTTCCTACATGAGATGAGGCCTAGACCCAAACAGAACTACCGGGCAGGCAATGCTGCTAGAAGCACTCTTGCCCAGTGGTTTGGTGATCTCATGTCCCTGCTTCAGAGCATCCCTCAAAGCTGAGAGATAGCGCAGGAGTAAAAGCCAACCTGGGTCTCCAGAGATGCTGTTACAAGAAATTGCTCGGCCAATAACACTTCTCACCCTGTTTGCTCATGTGTGCAGGGATGTGCCCCACAGAACGCACAAGCTAGTTCAGGGCAGGCTCAGTTCTGCTTCGGCTTCTTGGCAAGCAGCAGCAGCAATGTGAGGCTGTAGGAGAGGGGAATGATGCTGTTGCAGGAAGTCCAGAGCAGGCAGAGCATAGAGAAGCTCTCGGTCTCCACAGCCACCAAGATGTAGGCAACAATGAGCTGTGTGAAGACCCAGGTCATGCCACGGTAGAGGAGCTTCGCACCTGGGGAGGTGACCCGGGCGCTCAGGAAGGGATGGATACGGTAGTCAGCCTCCACCATGACAGCCCAGCACAGGAAACCAAAGACCTGCCCGGGCCGGAGGCCATGCCACCAGGCAGAGAAGACAAAGGTGGCTAGGAGGGGTTGGGCCGGGCAGCGCTGAAAGACAAGTCTCCTCAGCCAGCGGGATGTACTCTTGTTCCCTGTTCACGTGAAGACGGCCAGGCGGTGGGTGGTCTCCAGCGTCCACAGGTCACAGATGGAAAGGTCCCGCCTCCGGCCCGAAGCCAGCCACCTCCAGGAGGGCCTCATCCAGCACCCAGTGCAAATGGTAGGCCAGCCTGAGGAGCAGGGCCCGCTCCCCAATGTGGGGGAGGCAGCCCCCGGCGGAGGCTTGGCCACCATCCCTGCCCACAGCCCCTGCAGGGCCAGGGTGCCCAGGCACTGCTGGCCGGCAGCCCTCAGCAACCCGGGGAGAGCACTGTGGGACTCGGCCTGGGCCAAAACCTGCTGAAGGCCACCAAGGAGGGCTGGGAAAAAGAGTAGGTAGCTGCAGAGAGGCAGCGCACTCTGCAAAAAACCCTGCCCAAGCCGGAGCAGCACCAGCCCTTTGTGGATGTCCAGGGCCAGAGATGTAGCCTTCTGGGTAAGCAGCATGATGGCAGAGAGGGTGACGGCTGGCCTGGAAGGAGAGGGCACCCAAGAGCTGCTGAAAGTCCCTCGAAGGGAACATTAGAGGCATGGGTGTAAGGCTGCACACAGGGATGTACTGTCCCATGTCCCCAGAGCACTGCAGTGCCCACAGAGCCACCCACGTGCTGGGACACGGCTGGAGCCAGAGAAGAGGCTTGACATCTGTGGAACAGTGAGCTAGTGTGGCCCGAGGGGACCTCCACCCTCACAAAATGACTGGCAGAGCCCCCAGTCCACCAAGGGGAGGAGCGTGAAGGAGGCAGAGAAGGGAAGGGGTGGTTACGTGGTATCATGTGGGTCCAGCTCCTGGCTGCTCAGCCCCAGGTGGCAGAGTGTCTGCCAGGGCATTTTTTTAGGCCCAGGTGTGGGCATGAGTCGGGCTAACGGACAGGAGGATGAGCACAGAGCCAGCGGCAGGGATGAGGAGCAACACAGCATAGCTGCCCATGGCTGTGCCAGCAAGGAGACATCCTCCGACGAGGAGGAATATGTACCTAGAAGAGACGAGATACCCTTCGACTGCCTTCTGGGGAAAACGGGGCTTGAAACCCCTACTAGGGGGTTGATAGCGGAGCTTAGTCTGAGTCCTACAGCCTCCACAGTCCTCCTGTAGCCTGCCTCTTGGCCTCTCATGGTGCTGCGGGATCACAAGGGCTATCGAGGCTGCAGGCAGGAACAGTGGAGAAAGGGGCAGATATTGCTGGCCCTGCCTGGCCGGAGACAGCCCCCATCCACTGCCCTGCCTACCTTGCCCATGTGCTCGTCCTGGTGCACCTCTAAACCCACCTCCCACAATAATGAAGTGTCTGGCCTGGCTGTTTCGTCCTTAACAACCTTGATCCCCACTGCAAAGCCCTCCTGATAGGAAAGCTCGCATTCAAGCCATATAAACATCCCTACCGGAGTCAGCAGGGACTTACTGCCATGGGTCCTGCTTCAGCTCTGGCCAGGACAGCCCCTAGAAAGCGTCCACAGTTATGATTTGGCATGGCAGCAGGGGTGACGACCACGTACCGGGCAGTCAGAGAGAGGTGTCCCGAAGCACAGAGGTGGTGAAAGAGCAGCGAAGGGGAAAGCCGCCAGTCGGTATGGAGCTGCAGGGAGAAGGATAAGCAGGTCTGCCCAGCACATCGAGAACCTTGCTTCTTCGACTGCCTCTGGTGTCTGGAGAAAGGATGGAGCCAAAAGCTGCTCTCGTTCCTCTTTATACACGGCAGGCCTTCAAAAAAAACACCAACCTCACATCGGAGCTAAGGAAACAGAGGTATCTGCAGGGTGAGAAGCATGGGTTTTTGCATTCATCAGCGCTGACTCCTTCAAGCATATCTGTCCCAATGTTTGTGTGTAGGTGGAAAAAGTTGGGGTTGGTTGTTTGCTCTGCCAGACAGCTGGGCCATTACCGCACACTTTGAAGACAGCAAGAGCGAGGTGCTGAGACACGAGCCTCTTTGAGCTGCCACGGGATGCAGCTCAGAGCAAAACCCCCAGGCACTGCCAGAGGCTTGGTCCTTTCTCTTGGCTTCCTCTCAGCTCAGACCTTCACAGAAAGCTGCGGCTTCTTCCTGGCTTACTTGTTATGGGGTAGTGGTGAGGCCAGTATCTAAAGCCCTGGTGACAGTGACGAGGGAGGGTGAGGCCCTCAGCCTCACCACTCAGACCAAGCTACAGGGGCCTTTCATGTACCCAAGATAAAAGAATAGCTCTATTCTCTCCAAACGATTTTCTTCAAGTAAATAAAGAAGTAATAGACTCACAGAGCTATTTGTGATGGTATAAATTAGTCATTCCAGTTGAACTGTTTAAAACTCACATTCTTTCAAAAACGAGCCCTATCAGCATGTAAAAAGTCCTCTTCTAGGCCAGATTAGAAAAGTGATTTGAAGAGTCATCCCTAGGGTGATATGAAACCAGCTGCTATTTCTCTCATAATGCCACCAGCTAAACAGATAAAAATGCTCAAAAAAATCAGTTTGCAGGACTTGGCTCTTCCTTGTGAGATCTTTGTTCATGGCTTTTTAAAAAAATATTAGTTAATATCTGCTTTATTTTAGGCATATGCAAAGTATGAATACAAAGAACAATAGCCTGGAATTTCCTTTCAGAACTAAAAAGGCACAACATACTAGAGGGATAGAAGAAATAAGGTTTTCCCTTTCCTTTGTGGAAAAAAAGAGCAAAATTGGTGCCTAAAGTTACAGAAAGAAGTGTGCTCATTAAAAAAAAAAAAAAAAGATTTTTTTATTTTAAAAATATATCAAGTCCAACTTTCATGAATGCTTCTACTTTCACTGAGCTTTTCAAGCTATTGTGATGTTGCAAAGCTTGCCACATTATCTGGATGAGTTCTTTGGTGATAATAAGGTGAGTGCCAAAACCCCATGGAAAAAAAATATTAAAGCAAATGCTGCTGAGAAACTGGCTGTATTTTGCTATATTGGTGCAGGATATATTTTAAAAGCAAGTGATAGTTCTGGGGAGCAGCTTTTTCCATGTCAAGTTTGGCATGCATGGTATGCTGTAACAGCCTGGTTTCTTGGGACTCATTCTGCCAAATCCATGGAGCCCAGTATTGACTTTGCTGAGCAAATATTTTTGAAGGCCCTTTGCAGTGCCAGCTTAAGCAATTCCCTGCATGGCTCTGCAAAAATGCCATTGCTTTTCAAGAAGCAGAAATTAATTTCCACGGCAGCACTGGGAATGTTAATACACTGCTTGTGCCTCCCCTTTTATACCATCATATGTCTAAGCGAGCATGTGAGCCATAGTGAAGCATGTGAGAGAGCATTTCTTGCTTCATCTGCACATCCTAAACAAGCAACAGCCTGGTCCCTGGCTAAGGAATTCATTGTTTGATAATACAGCAAGTGAGAGGAGCAGGCTGACCACTGTTAGAGCAAACTCTGGGCATGAAATTCAGGCAGACATGGGCAGGTACTAGCTTTGGACTAATACGCAGAAAGTTTATAGTTGCTTTCTTGGTGGAATGTAGTGCTGCTCTGGCAACAGTTTTGGCTGCCTGTTGTAACGCAGCCTACACCGATCTGCTGCAGGGCACTCTGCTAAGTGAAAGATGTGCATTGAAAGGGCCATCCTGCTTTAGCAGGGGAGTTGGGCTAGATGATCTCTAGAGGTTCCTTCCAATTCCAGCAATTCTGTGATTCTGTGAAAGCAAAAAGTTATTGTATAGGAAAAGACTGACAGGGTTTGTCTTTTTTTTCCAGAGAAAAGCATGTAAAGGGAAAAAGAAGCCATCAAGTAGGGCTCAGGAGAGCTAACTGAGCTCCTGTCTCAGACTTTCTCTGTGACCTTAGAGAAGCTGCTTAACTCCCACTCACAAATCAGAGATGACAGTTTCTGTTTCCCTGGGGTGTTATCAGGCCACATCAACCACAAACCCCACAAACCTCGGGACCTTATGTTTGGCTGTGATAGGCAGGACATGAAAGTACCTAAATGAGGAAGGAATTAAGAAATAAATGCAATGGCTTATCAAAACACAAAAATGCAAAAATTCTTTCTTTATTTTCAGGCACCAGTCCCACGCTGGCTTTTTGCTACTTGTTGCCATTACATTAGATTTGCTGATCGCTGCCTGCAAATGACCTACTGCTGCTTGCAGCAAAAGCCTTTTTGTCTCCCTGGATAAAGGGCCACATCCCAGTAGTTTAAGGATAGTATGGAAGTCACTTATCACAGCTGTGATTCCACTCATAGAGGTCTGAAGTCATGCCTGGGGAAGGAAAGGCTCTTCCCTAAGCTCTCATGTAATTTATATTTTCTGTGTTTCTCGGTACCTACATCAGTTATTAAAAGTCTATGTTAGTTTGCGACAAATTAAACTCCGTGAAGTTTCTGCAGGTTGGTTGTTTGTTTTTTTTTTGCCTGCAAAAGGGCCTTGCAACTCTTGAGATCAGCCACATCAGCTGAACTTGGTGCAGATGAGTGACCAGCCCTGTGCCCTTCCCTCTGCCAGCAGTGGCAAAACAGGTGATTTATTTTCAAGGCAGAATCCTACCAGAAACTCCTTTTTCTCGCCAGATGGAGACAGATTCTTTCATAAGGTTTTGGGACATTTAGAACAGGAACCTCCAGGTGCTTTTCTGCTGAATTCCAGAAAAGGAGCCCCTGAGTTACTCCAGACACATGAGGAAGGGACATCTTGGACAGGCAGCAGGGTCAGGAAGATCGTTTTCTCTGCTTCTTTTCCTCCTCAGCTACAATTTCTGAGAGCATTTGGGCTACCTTTTTGCAGCAGCACAGCACCTGAATGTCAGCACTTCCATTGGAGTCATCAAGGCTCCCTCAGCAACAGGACCAGAGCAAAGAGGACCTCCAGCCTGCTGGGCTGCATCGGGCAAGGTGTTGCCAGTAGGTGAAGGGAGGTAATCCTGCAATGGACTCAAGCTGCAACACATGAAACCCCATCCAAACCCCGGAAAACACCCATCTGTGTATGTGTTTGTGCTTTGTATGCGCGTAGTGTGTAGAAGGGGGTGGGTGTTGCACGTTTTGTGTTGTGAGCGTGGTGCATGGTCCCACGTTGTGTGCACAGTGCATGTTTTGTGTGTGCTGTGTGCTTGCGTGTGTTGCGGTTTTGTGTGCGTTCACTGTGTGTGGGAGGGTGCTCAGCTCCACAGGTGTGTCAAGGGGACCCCATGAGCACCCTCAGCCCCAGAGAGGCCCTAGATGGGGGTCAGAGGCATGTAGAAGGGACTGTGGGGCACATGAGGGTTTATGGGTCAGGCATGGGGGAAGCTGGGGGTACCCAGGGGGTTATGAGGCACATGAGAGGTTGGAAGACCCTATAGGAGCCACAGGGCATCCAGGAAAGCAATGTGACACCCAAAGGGTCAGGATACCAGGGGAGAGAGTTGGGTGCATATTGAGAAGATCAGGGGGATCCTGCGGGGGGGGTTATGGGGCCCTCAGGGAAGTTGTGGAAAGGGGATTCTGTGGGGCATAGGAGAGGTCAGAGGCACCCTAGGGGCCTGTGGGACACCCAGGAGGTTGGGAAAACCCAGGGGTTTATGGATCCAGGTGGACCTTGAACAGGGTTGGGGGAAACTAAGGAGGGGGCTCAGGGGCACCAAGAGAAGGGTAGGATCACAGGGTTCCCCGAGAAGATGATGCTGGAGCCCAGGACTGTGACACTTCCTTTATTGCAGATCCTAACAGAGCACCCACAGGAGAGAACATCCACATCCCCACTTATAGCCCCTGCTACATCAAGCCTCACGGGGTGGGCGCATAGGTGCCAGCAAGGTGCACGGGCAGCCCATTCTGGCAGGCGACACGCACGTGGTGCTCGAGCTGCCGGGCCCGGTAGGCACAAGGGGACCTGGTGTCCCCTCCCCGCACACGGCAGGCTGTGAGGCCCACGGGTTTTGGGGTGCTGTGGAACCCCGTGGCATCAGGCGTCTGGGTGCAGGCAGCCACGAGGTCGTTGGCTGGAGCATGCACAAAGGTGTTGGAGGGCTTGCAGGGCCGCCCCGGGGCTGTCACTCGCCGGCGGGCCAGCATGGTCTCGCAGTAGCGGTGGGCGGCGAGTGTGGATGTCCGGGGGTGGTCCACATGCTGCCGCAGGAACTTTAGCGGCTCTCGCCCAGTGCTCCTGCCAGTGCTGCCAGCACCAGGACCATGCACAGGGTCCAGCCCGCCATGGCACCTGTGGAAAGCGGGGTCAGGGCCATCTGGACTTCGGAGGGCCCCCAGCTGGAAACCTCACCCTAGATGCTCAATTCCTCTACAAATTCTCCCTCCTGGGTCCCTTACAAAACCCCTCTAAATGCCTGGGCAACCTCCTGGATACCCAGACGACCTGCGGATCCCACCTGGCTGCCTGGGTGCCCTACAGAACACCCCATAGACACCTGTATCCCCACAGCTCTGCACTCCCCTGAAGCCCAGGTCCCCTATGTAATTTCCCCCCAGACATATGGGTCCCCTATAGATCCATCCCCTGCCCCAACACACATATCCCCTATATATCCTCCCTCCCTGCTGGATGCGTGCATTCCTCACAGTCCCCTTCTGCAGACGCTCTGGTCCCCTGCATATCCCTCACCCGCACCTGTGTGTGTGTGCCTCAGTTTCCCTTATGGCCTCGGGGTATCCGGGATCCCTCCAATTCCTCTGCACCTATTTTATACTGGCCCCAGCAGGGCCCAATGGGCAAGGATCCAGCAGCAAGGGCAGGTCATTCGGTAGTCATTAACGAACCATGTGACTGACTGTGCAAGTCCCCTCCTGTGTCCCCTGCCCTTGTTGCCTTAGGCCATGCATTCTGGCCTCAGCCCGTGTTGCTTTGGGCCATGCATTCTGGCTTTGGCCACATGTCCCATGACGGGTAGGACACCTGGGGCCCCTTGGGTGGCAGGGCGTGACACCTAGTTCCCTAGTTGGGGGCAAAGCATCAGCGTCACCTCTGGCAGCTAGCAGTCCCTCCTGGATGCTGCAGTATGTCCATGGCTTCCCTGCACCGCTTCAGGAGCTACTTGTCCCTTCCCCCCGTGCCCCCTTGCAGACAAGTTCACACCCTTGGGAAGTGCTGGGACATGTTTTGCCCCAGCGTCACCTTGCCCGCTCCTGGCTGCTCTGCTTAGG